CAGTCTCTGTCAGGCCAGTAAATGAGAAGTGCATTCTCATGACTGCTGCAAAGACAGTTTTTTCATAGGTTTTCTTTTTAATTTTTTCAATCTCTGTGAATTTTATTCAGTTCTATTAGAGAGTAGCTCTTTGACATTTTGATTGAATCTCATTTTTTCATGTTTCAGAAAGTAGAAAAAAAAAAACTCTAGAATTTTATTTTTTAAAAATTGAGAAAATTTTCCCATTATATCAGTAGTTTAGGTTCATTAATGATAGAGTAGGAAAAATCATGCTTAATCCACTTAAAATCATTATACTTTGAAATTTGTTGTTGGGCAACAGTCAGACAAATAGTACATTGGGTAGTTGAATTAAAACAAGTCAGGGGTTAAAATGCCTTTCTGGATTTGCCTAACTTTTTTGCTTCTGGTTGTTTCATACCCTTTATCCCATAATTAGTCAAAATTCATTCAAGTTTATTTTGCCCAGGACCAAATAAAGGTCTTCGTGAACAGTTTCATCTTGATTTACTGTTTCTTTTTTTTTTCTGTTTTGCAAATCTCCTTCTCTCTCCAAATCACTGTTAAGTAATTTTCAATTTCAAGTAAATTGTTCTCACAAGTAATGAAAGACCAACTGAAGAATATGAAGTATCATATGGGGTTTATACTTAGGACCATTGTTAGGGCATCTGAGAAGAATTTGTCTTCATTCCTTTCTGCTCTGACTACTACTTTTATTGAATTTTGCATCAGTAGGGTTAATATATCAGTTCAAATAAGTTAAAATGTCAACTTTTATTAAAATGAATTCATAAATGATATGCTAGTAAGCTAATTAAACATTGAAGAAACACAGCAAAATATTATTCTAATGTGAACCAATATTGTCATATGGAGTACATCTAAGTATAAACTAGTGCATCTAAGTATAAACATTATGGGCTAGAATTGGCTGCCACTTTTTTGTGTCTACTTTAATATACTTCTTTAGTTATGCTACAATAGACCACAAAAAGATAAACTTAACTCATGCCTCAAGGGTAACTACAAAGTTCCCTAATTAACCAATTACTTTAGTATTCAGCAAGTGCTGTGCACTAGGTTATGCTAGATACTGAACTACAAAGATCCCTAATATACTCTCCTGCCCTTATAAAGCGTTCACTCAGGAATTTAAAACTAGCTAATATTTCATATAAATATTGTGATGCTAACAGTTTAAACAAACTGCATGGGAGGACATAGAAGAACTTAATGATGTCTCCCTTAGGGGGAGTGTCTGAATAAATATTATAATAATTCAGGTTTGTATTTCAGTATTCCTCTTCATGAAAATGATAGCGTCTTGAGTCCAACAGTTTATTTCTCTGAGTCTGCATCAAGTATGTGCAGTTACCTCAAGCTCTGCCATGCTCTGTTACTCTGTCTCGGGGTGGTGCAAATGGTTAAGCACTTGACTAGTAGCTGAAAGGTTGGAGGTTTGAACCCACCCAGAGGTGCCTCTATATGTCTTCCAAACGGTCACAGCCATTGAAAACTCTATCGAGCAGTTCTACTCTGCACATATGGGGTCACCGTGAGTTGGAATCGACTCGTAGCAACTAACAACCTCATCATTTACGGAACATTCAGTCAGAAGTACAAATAAAATTCTAGAACTTTGTATCTGCGGATGTATTGTACTATTTCTGTGTCTGCATAATATAGTTTGTTTAGTTTTTATTATTAATTAATGCATGTTCATAGAATTTTTAAATCTTTAGTTTTTCTTTATTTGCACTGGAGGTAAAATATTTTTCTGTAAGCATCATTTACTCTTTTTAACTTGATAAATGTGAAATTTAATTGTGCAAAGAGAAACAGATGATTTCTGCTCTGGGGTAGAACAGATGAATAATGGCCTAAAGTGTATCTTTCAGGCCCAGGTAATAAGTATTTGCAGATCCTGATAGAATTTTTATCTAAGTACTCTTCTAGTACTTATTTCCAATCTGGATTTAGCTCCTGAAGCAGATACATTTTTACAATGTAGTACAGCCATCATTTTACTTGTAAAAACATCTACCTGTATCCAGGACAAACATGTTGACCTAAGAATGAACTTTCTAGAGAATATTTGCTTTTAGTGTTTATTAGACTACCTAGTAGAGTCCTTCAGGAAAATCATGTAGAAAGTACTTGTTCTGCAGGCTTTTGAAAAAATTGAATCGGCTTTGTGGATGGGGCTCAGACCTTGAACTTGTTAGTAGACCTTGAACTTGTTAGTGTACCTTGAATTTTGTGCTTAAACTTGTTTGTCCAAAGGTTAAAAATAATAAAGTGTTTATTTTTCTCATATTTGTCTTGGATATAGTGATAGACAGCAGTAAATTGTGTGTTAGAGGATATTTCGGTAATATTTATTCACATATGAAGAACCCTCACTTTATTTTCAAGGACAGAAAGCTACATTGCTGATTAATTGATATTGATAATGGTATGTTCCTTTGTTTGGCTGTTAACCTCTTCTTTCCATTTCTAATGATTTTCCTTTGATCATTTGCCTTGTTCTTAAGATTGCCTTTGATTGTCTCTATCCCCTCGTATTAAATATCTTTGAGATTTTTGTTTACACTTTATCTGTTTCATTGTCTATGATATTTGTCTATGTCTTCTTAGTTTCGATGCTGCTGACATATGCCCTACTATTTGTAATTACCTTTTTGGCAGCTTGTGTACTATTTTCCTGGTCTTTGCTGTGAAGACTTTGGTGGTCTCAGTTTTTGTACTGCATCTTCAGTCTGTTGCTGCCGTTGAGGATATGCTCAACTATCCTAAATCCTAGATCGACATACATGCGCACATGCATGTGTGCACACACACACAGACACGCATACATCTCTAGCTCAAAATTATGTTAAAAATACCTTTTCTCAAGTTAAGGCCCTTTGTGGTAATTGGGACAAGATTATATGTTTTAAAAACCTAGAAGGAACTCTTTGGTCTTTGTCTTGATTATAGAATTTTTTATCTATAAGAAAACAATTATATTAAGTTTTGATGCATGCTTATATATATGCACAGGCATATGTTTATATGATATAAATTAATCAAAGAGTGTTTGTAGGCCATGATAATGGCAAATTACCATTAAAATGGAGAAAGGATTTTATAGATTTAATGTAAATTCATTATTTCAGTTTAAATTGACAATTTAAATCAATTTCCAATTTTTATTCTTTGGACAATTATCTTTTTAAATGTTTCCTGGAAATAATTTGGATAATCCTTTCCCTTCTTTCTTCTCAATTTCATACTACTATTCTCTACATATATCTACCTTCCATCTAGGTGTTATTTTATGCTAATTTTTGTTTTATTTTTGCTGCTTTCAGTTGTTTTTATTTTATCTTTCTAGAAACAAGGTGACTAAGACTTGTCTAGTTTCTCTGAATGTAGAGAGACATTATTTATATGCTCTTTCAGATATTTTAAAGTTACTTGGTATTGCTAAAACATTTTTTTGTGGGTACTGGATAATGACGGGCAAGGGAGTGGAAAGAAAGCATTTTTAAACTTGATTTTTTGACATGAACTGGTTACAGCTGAGTGAACCTGTACTGAAAGGTAGACTCTGTTTTAAGTATTTTTTGTTTTGTTTTTTGTTAAAGTATGTTTTCCCTTTCCCTGTCTTTCTTCTGCACATTTCCCCACCTCCACTTAAACAATCTAAGTTTTGACAGTAGAGGCATGCTGGTCAGATTTTAGTGCTTAGATATCAAATACAATAATTACTAAATATTTCAACCAGCAGGAACTGAGACTCCTGTTGGTGTCTTAATCCAAAAGCGGCGTTTTAAATTCATATAAACCTTGCCTTAAGGGGTTGAGAAAGGACAATTTGGGGAACAGCATGAGGTTAAACATATTGATTAGTAGTCTAGTATTCTAGCTAGACTTTGGCAGAATGTAGACTTAGAAAAATAACACCATCAACAACAACAAAGAATACCATGCTTCTATAGAGAGAACTTGTTTTTTTTCCTTATTATATGGATTTTAGATGATGAAAGATATATTTCAGCCAGGGATTTAAAAAAAAAAAGGAGAGATTTAAATTTGGAGTGCTAAAACAGTAACTGAAAAATTTTGCGATTTTAAATTTTTTATCATTAAAGATATCTATAAAGGATTTAGTTAATTATAGTATCTATTTATATGTTCTTAATAAACATGATATACTGCAATATTGAATTTTTGCCAAAATATGAAAACCATTGCCTGGTAATTTAAGTTCTAGAAATTGTTATTTTGATCTACAGGGTTTATAATACAGTTTTTAGTTGTAAGAATTCCATTAACCAGATTCAGGCCACTTCTTGATCTTGAGGACTCTGGGGCTTTGAGTATCTCTTGAATGGAAAATGATTTTATAATTCCATATAGATTTATAATTTTTCATCTAGGATATGTTCAATTTAAGTTGCAAGTGTGTGGGCTATCATTATTGGCAAGAACCTAACTTTTGGTTATAGTAATTTTTTTTTTAATGGAAAGGTACCAATGGCTAATGTTTCTCCACCTCCTTTCCTTCCCCAAACCCCTAATTAAATGGAAATAAAAACCCCACCGAAACTATATTTTTTCTATAGTTTATAATTGACTAAGATATTTTACTTACAAATTATTGTTTTAATAGGCTTGGCTGTGAGGAAAGGGTGATGCAAATAGTTAAGTGCTGGACTACTAACCAGAAGGTTGGCAGTTCAGACCCACCCAGAGACACCTTGGGAGTAAGGCCTGGTGATCTGCTTCCAAAAGGTCACACCTTTGAAAACGCTATGTAGTGCAGTTCTCCTTTGCACACACGGGGTTACCATGAGTTGGTATCAACTGGATGGCAGCTAACAACAACAACAGCACTGTGAGCGAAGATACGTGCTGATACTTAGAATAAAAACTTGATGTTTCCATTTTGTTACTCGTTCTTTAATGTTGGAAACCAAATCTGAGTTTTGCTGTATAATCTGTTATAGGTAGCTTGTATGCAGCTCATCAATGCTCTTGTTACATCTCCTGATGATTTGGACTTGAGACTTCACATCAGAAATGAATTTATGCGTTGTGGATTAAAAGAGATATTTCCAGTAAGTGCCCTGCAGTCTCCTTATTAATATTTAAATTTAAAGAGTATTGGAGTAGGGGAAATTTAGATAAATTACCTTTAATAATAATTTATCTGTGGGAAAAAGCTTGAGTATAAAATCTGTTTTTGAAATATAGATGATCAATTTGAGAGTTATTTAACACTTTAAATGTTTCAGTGCTATAAATCAAGTTGAGTGGTTGGTTTATTGTTTAAAAGAATACATTTGCTCTATATGTTTTTCATTAATTCTTTTATATAATTAAAAACAAAATTGTTCATAATTTCTATTCAATATATTTAGAATTTAAAACGTATTAAGAATGATGGCCTGGATATCCAACTTAAAGTCTTTGATGAGCATAAAGAAGAAGATTTGATCGAGTTCTCCCATCGCCTTGAAGATATTAAAGCTGAATTTGAATATCCTTTTGTTCTGAAGTATAGTTCAGTTTATAAAATTATTACTGAAATCACAGCAACAAACCCCACTCCCTAAAAATTAAACTTCTGAAACCATTTCTATATAAACAATATGAAATCAAACCTTTTATGAATCAGATGAATGTTTGTGTAGACCTTTATTTAATGTGTATGTTTATAAAGGCACACATGTAAGTGCACGAGAGGGTTCTGTTAGACATGTTCTTATATGTATATATGTGTAGTTTGGCCTTTTTTCATTTTATGTTTGTTCCCCACCCCAGTGCTTATAACATTAGGCATAGGGTAGCCTCAGCTCAGTGGTTAGCTCCTTCTCTGCCCCTTAGGTGCATTCTCTTGTGGGCCCCGTATTAACTCGGTAGGTCTGAAGATGTCTATGTTCTTCACAAGGTCCACTAAGTTCCTAACTTCCACTGGGGCTTTTCCATGATCAATAAAGCCTGACACCAGCTCTCTTGGTTAAGGTACTCCCAGAAACCAATGCAGTATTCACAACCAGCTTCCCACTCCCTCTTGGCTAAGGAGTGGCAGCCTGGTTGCAGTTTATTGTAGAGAGGAAGCTAGGTAGTATTAGATCAAGTCATCATTGCCACAGTTTGCCCCCATTCTCATCCTAACTACCTATGTTTTATCCCCTGTCAAATATAAAATAACAAAACAAAAAAAGCATCCAATTGCTCTTGTGTCCAACTCATGGCAATCCCATGCGTGTCAGAGTAGAACTGTGCTCCATAGAGTTTTCAATGGCTGTAATCTTTCAGAACTATATCACCAGGCCTCTCTTTCAAGGCACCTCGGGGTAGACTTGAATCTTATAACCTTTTGATTAGGAGCCAAGCACGGTAACTGTTTACACCAACCAGAGACTCCCATGCTGAATATACATGATCCCTATTTTAGAATTACAAAACCAAAAAACCCAAACCCATTGCCATTGAATTGATTCTGACTCATAGCAGCCCTACAGGACAGAGTAGAACTACCCCATAGGGGTTCCAAGGCTGTAATCTAGGAAGCAGATTGCCACATCTTTCTCCTGGGGGGAGTGGCACAGCAATTAAGAGCTCTGCTGCTATCTGATTTTAGAGTTAGACACCCAATAATCTATCAAAGTCTTATTAAACAGATTCTGTGTTCTTTTTTTTTTTGTAGCTGTTCAGAATAGAATATAAATAAATTCACATATTCCTTAATCAGTTTACTGAAGCATATGATGTTTACAACATGGTGTGGAATATGGTTAAGGAAACTAGAGCAGAGGGATATTTCATTTCTATTCTTCAGCATCTTTTGCTGATTAGAAATGATGATTTTATAAGGTAAGAGGAAGCTATATTCTAATGTTTTCTTTCCCTAATAAAAATCTATTAATTATGAAATTCACCTGATGTTTGATTTGGGCAAGCAAATGGTTTTAAGATTTTTATCTCTGTCATAATATTGATTTATGGTATGTGTTATTTCCTCTGGGTATACATTTGGATAAATGATGGTAAAGTGACATTACTATTACTCTTTAGGCTCCAGTGGATTCTTGGTTACAACCTTTCAGCTGAATAAAAATGCAAACTAGCAACACATTACTAGTTTATCATGTGATTGATAATATTTCCTGGTTAGTGCTTAGGCAGTAGGAATGACGTGAATATGTGTCTTTTTAAAAATTGTATGAAGGGCAGTAAATACTGCTTTTATTAGTGTTTAAGTAGCTAGAAAGTACCTTAATAATGTAGTTGCATTTAATGCTATGTATCAGAAAAGCTAGAAAAACAGCTTTTCAAGTTTGGTTATGTTGTAAATATCTGAGTTTAACAAATTATTTGTCCTTTCTCCACATCATCTATATCATATGTGGCTGTATATAGATACTACCTCCTAACTTGCTGGGTTGTTTGGAAGATGAAATATGGCAGTATGGGCAAAACTCCTAGCCACATACCTGGCACATGGTGTATACTCAGTAAATGTTCTCTATATCCCCTTTCCACTTTTATTACTGTTTTATGAAAGAAGCTGAGATCTTTGAATTTAAAATCATTTTTGTTGCCACCAGTTTAGCTTTGCTGAAATTTCATTCTCCAATACTGCGGGTAGGATGTCTTTTCTTATTCTAATTTCAAGAAGAGGGATTTGCCAGACATGTCTCTTTCAGGTTATGTCCTCTGAGTGATGTCAGGGGTGTAACTTGGTAGCCTTCTGTTCTACCTAACGATGTAGTAGAATAAGGGTCAAAAAAGTTAAAACTTCTGTTCTTGTGAGTACAGGTCATCCATCTAATCTCCTCCGTTTGTAGATAGAAATTCTATTAGTATTATGAAATGTGAGAGTTTAATAACCTCTATGGGTTGATAGAGTGGATGCAACAATGGGCTCAAGCATAGCAACGATCGTGAGGATGGCACAGGACCAGGCAGCGTTTCATTCTGGTGTACTTAGGGTCGGCGTGAGTTCGAACTGACTCAGTGACACCGAACAACAGCAACAAGGAGCTGTTTAATTTGCTCCTGATATTTTATTAAAAAAAAAAATACAATAGTTTGACTATTTAACTATTTTATAAAAGCTAGATTAAAAATACTAGTAAATTAAATAAGATATTTAAATATCCTAGGTACCCTGCTAATTATGACACTATAGATCTATCCCAAATTTACATAAAAATGAAATTGAAACTTCCATTTATTCTAAAGTAACCCCATCCATTTCTTGCTCTGTGCATAGTAGCTCCTGTCAACCTGATGCTGTTTGAGTTCCCAAGAACTCAAGGCTGCTGTTTGCTTTCAGAGGTTGAATGTGTCTGTACTGCTGCAACAGTTGTATCTTACTTACGAACTAATCCCTTTGTCTGTGCTCCAAGAGAGCACGTGCTAGTGTCCAAGTTCAAAACTGAACAAAAAGCACAACAGTCCTGGGGCATGCTCAGGAGACCCTGTCACTTAAAATTAGTAGAATTAAGAGCCTCAGGGAAATAGTAAATTGTGGCATTACCAAAGTGACATTAGTAAGACATAGATGTTTAGCTATTTTCACATCTTTTGGATGTCAACTTTTTAATTTGATGCTCATCCATGTTACTTTCCTCCTTAGATCTTAAAGTCCCAGACTCTTGCTCTTTGTTTTAGATACAGTTACTATGAAGGCAGAGTTCTTTCTCTGACTGTAGGGTCACTGTGAGTCAGAATCGACTCGACAACACACAGCAACAACTGTTGCCAAGAAATGCCATCTACTTTTTCCCATGTTCCAAATCTCTCATAGTTATTTAATTGCTGCTGTTATTAGTTTTTTAAAAAATATACTTCTATTATAAGATCATGTCAGAATTATGATCATTTACCTAATATTTTGACATACATTTATTTTTTAAAAGTTTTGTTGAGTTAAAAATTTACATGCAATAAAGTTCACTTTTTTCAATTTACAGTTCTATCAATTTTGTGCTTTCGGTTTTTACCTTCATTTTTCAGTTTCATGTGTGTCAGATGGAACCGAACTTTATCTCAGATAACCTGAACATTTTAAGCTAATTTTGATATGCATAAACATAATTTTTCATTTTCTATAAATAAGTAGATCAAGTGTTTTATTACTGAATGCAAAATGTACTCATTTAAAAGAATTAGTAGATGAAAAAATTAGGATCTTTTGTAATTTTCACATTTGAAACAAAGAAATTTTACTGAAATGGAACTCAATTGGAGAATATACTGGCAAAGGCAGGTCTCCTCTCCTCCAAGGGGGAAAAAAAAGTCAGATAAACACAGGCAAGGTAATTGGAGGGTAGAGAAAAAGAATAAAATTGAATTCTGCAACAAATAATTAATGACTCACCATGATCAAAATAGGAGAAACTGGGTGGTACAAATGGTTTAAGCCCTAAAAGTTGACAGTTTGAACTCACCCAGAGGCACCTTGGAAGACAGGCCTGGCAATCTGCTTCTGAAAGGTCACAGCCTTGAAATCCCTATGGAGCAGTTCTCTGCATATATGGGGTCACCACGAGTCAGAATTGACTCGAAGGCAACTGTCAACAACAGCATGTTCAAAATACCATGCTAATTGAATGAGCATGGGAGATAATTTCTGATATTTGCTCACAGTACTACAGAGAAAATGAGGATGATTTCAAAATCCCCTCCAACAAAAATCATGTTTTATCAGTGCAGTAATGGCAGTTTATGCTCATCCCTTAATTAGGATATTCACATGTTCATCTGAGATGTTCATAAGTTTACCAATATTGCCCATGGAGATTATTTTCTAGATTTGTATTTCCAGAATCTAGAAGTATATTATTTCTTGCTAGTATTGCCTGCTGAACAAGTTTTTACACAACATTTGAGTTACATTAGTAATGAACTCATAATTGGGAGCTGTCTAAGTAGGAAAAAAAATTTACTGAAATTATAGTTCTTTTAAAAATGACATAAAATAGCTTGTGCTGTTAGTTTAAATCATTTTTATCATTAAAACAACATAATATTGAATAAAAGTAAAAAACAAATGGAGTGCAGCATCTAGATTTTCAAATGTGAAAGAAGAATGTGTGAAACTTATGTACCTTAGGTGTAGATGTTATTATGGCTAAAAAATTAGATAATGGGAGATATTTCATTTGAAAGAAGTTGAAAAAATTGAGTGTATAGATGAAACCATCTAGATTTTTACCCAAGAGCAGTTTCTCGAACATTTGTATTCTGTGACAATTAATGAGCATTAGTCTTCTTTGCAAATGTTAAGCTGTAAAATTTTATTTAGCATTAAAACCAAAAACCAAACTCGTTGCCATCAAGTCGACTCTGACTTACAGCGACAGGGTGGAACTACTCCATAGAGTTTCCAAGGAGAGGCTGGTAGATTTGAACTTCTAACCTTTCGGTTAGTGGCCGAGCTCTTAACCACTGCGCCACCATAGATGGTTTATTAAGTGCTAGATAAGTAGATCTTGGAGCCCTGGCGGAGCAACGGTTAAATGCTCTGCGGCTAACTGAAAGGTCAGCGGTTTGAACCCACCCATCAGCTCCACGGGAGAAAGATCTGGCAATCTGCTCCCGTAAAGATTACAGACTAGAAAACTCTATAGGGCAGTTCTACTCTGTCATATAGGTCTCTATGAGTCAGAATGGACTCAAAGGCACCCAACACCACCACCACCACCACCAAGTAGATCATACGGCAGCAGGTCATAGTGCATAGAAAAGGAAAGCCGAAGAGGTTAGAGGGGCCATCACATTCATGTTGAGGAGGGATTGGAGAGGAAAGGTGTGCTAAAAGTCATTGAGGAAAGAAATGCGTCCTATGTAGTGGTTGGGGATGGGAGACTGTACCCCATTAGAGTAGTACACAACCTCTCCTTGGCTTTAGTTCCATCCCGTTTATAAAATCTTCTCGCTATTTCTTTCACACTTGTTGCCTGAAATCTTTAGAGACATTCTTCAGCTTAATACAAAAGTAGGTGGACTGAACTTAACTCTAGTGACAATATGAACCCTAGAGTTTAGATTTTGGACAAACATTGTTATTAAGGCTTAATTATTTTTCTAGTTTTCTTTTGAGTAAGATATGGTAACTTGATATTTAATTTACAGTGTCAGTTTTTAATTTGATTCCACATTCTTAAAACAGTACTGACAATGTGTTCAGTTTTAAGAACTTTTCATAGAACTTCCTAGAAAAGATTTTTGTGTGTTTGTTTTATATTAATAAAATGAATTAATGGTAGCTATTACAGAATGCTACAGTGGAAGCAGATGATCTCTACTGAGGGCAACTCCAAGCATTTATCACTTCATTTTAATATTCTCTTTTTTACTCCCTACTATAATTAAGTTAAGGTTCTGACTTTTATAAGAAAATAATCTTTAAGGCACACTATATTTGCTAAAAGTACAAAAAGATTATAAAAATATGTGTTGAAGTCATTATAAGGAAAGTGAGGACAATTATATTTACTCTGACTCCCATGCTTAATCTCTTTAACTCCCATGTTAAATCTGTCGACTGTTAAAACTAATAATAAATTATAGAAGTCGAAATCATGCTTACTTGTAAAATATTTTGTTTTGATGTAAGTTACACTAATAAGTTGAGTGTACATTTATTCTTCTGTTTGATTTTAGACATCAATACTTCAAATTAATTGATGAGTGTGTATCCCAGATAGTATTGCATAGAGATGGAATGGATCCAGACTTCACATATCGAAAAAGACTAGATTTAGATTTAAGTCAGTTTGTAGGTAAGTATTTCTCTATCTCTTAAATGGAGATAGCTTATTGTCTCTTCTTCATGGGTTAGCGCTAGGGTACTGGTTCTCAAAGTATGGCCTGTAGATGCTAAGAGTTCTTGAAACTGTTTCTGGGGCTCCTAAAAGTCAAAACTATTTTTATAATAATACTAAGATATTATTTGCATTTTTACTATGATATTTGCACTTATGGTGCAAAACAATGGTAGAGAAAATTGTTGACACCTTGTTATGAATCTGAGCAGTACCACCAAACTACTGTTAGCCTGTATTCTTCACTCTAGTAAAATAAAACAAAAATTGACATTTTTTAGTTAAAAAATGTCTTTGAAAAAAACATTAAAAATATTAATTGTATTAAATATCAACCGTTGAGTGAACATCTTTTTTAATATTCTGTGTGACATAATGGGGTATATACGTAAAGCATTTTGCTGCACAGCAAAGTATGATGAAAAAATACTTGTGTAATTGTTTGAGATGTGAGCTGAAATGGCTGTATTTTTTAAGGAATGCCATTTTTACTTTGAAAGAATGACTGTCATACAAACTGTGGTTATTCAGACTTGAGTATTTTACACGTTTTTCTTAAAAATGCAATGACAAAATTTGTGGCCAGTGATAAAATTTAAGCTTTCAAGTGAGAACTGAAAATTTGGAAAACTTGTTTCTGCTGTCATCAGATTGACAATTTCTCAATAGTAAAATAAATTTTTTTGATGAGATTGGTGGTGATATTAACATATAATTTTGATATTGTATGATGAAATATGTCAATATTTAGATGGTCTTCATGACTCAGCAAACCACTCTTTTCCAAGTTACCAGTGTGTGATGTTACAAATTCTACATGAGTAAAAGATCCATTACAAGATCGACCAGTGTTTTTAAAGAGAGTACAACAAATTCATTGATTTGATATATAATTCTGTATTGTAACTAATCTTTAATAGGCTACCATGTGTCAAATTTTGTTGTAATATCAAAGAAGAATATCCATAATGATCTTACAACGTGATTAAAATACCCCTTCCTTTTGTAACAACATACCTGTTTGATGTGGTTTCTTCATATATTATCTGAGTCCAGGAAGAAGAATGGAATGTATAGAATGAGTAATGAATAGGATAATATTAGTGATACTGATAAAGAAAATGCTTGTCTTTCTCAACAGAAGATAAGAAATTAGAAATCCTTGGGTAGGTAGGAGGACATGGAAATTAAGAAAATCAGGGTCTAAATATGCAGTCAACTAAAATGTGGAATGATTTTGAATAGTGTCAAAAAAAAAAAATTCATTCTACCTGAACATTAGAAATGTTTTTCTAGAATAGCTGTGGAGTTTTGACATTGAGCTACTGAGAAGGAAATATAATCTTTGAACACAGATTGACTATGTAATCGGAACATATTTACATAGTTAGAATAAATTAATATTATTTATTGATTATAAACGTTTACAATAAACTTGTAGACAAGATACAGAAAATTTAATGCAGAAGGGATTGCCACTATATTTACATAAATAGCTGAGAGAAGACGAGAGGTTGGGCAGTGGGTGAGAAAGGTGTGAAAACCTAGGGCAAGGGCACAGATAACTTTATGAATTATAGTGGGTATCAAGAGATATTGTCTGATAGAACAGGAATAAGGATTTACGTATTTATTTAGTGGTACTAAGCCAACCAATTTAGCAAGTAAAATTATAATTAATTGGGATTAGGTGGAGAATACCATTTTCATCTTTAATAGTAGGAAGTTATATATAATGTCTTAAATTGATAATCAAGAAATAATGGTATGGCATTTTATTTAGGGATAAGAAGATAATGACCAGAATAATTCAATGCAGACAGAGCTGTAAGAAGCTGCATTTAGGAAGTGGGACTAACGTTTGGATGCAGTGATTTGGTTACTTTTCATTATAAGCTCCTCTGTTTATATATATATTCTCTGTGTGTGTGTATATATATATACGGATATATATATATATATGTATTCATTTATTGCTTTTATTTAAAAAAAGAAAGAAAGAATACAGTATATCACGGGAAGTCATTCTATGTCAATCCATATGTAGCACTTCTGCATAGAATCCTATCATGTGAATATACATCATAAGTTATTTAATCAATCCATTATTGATGGACATTTAAGTTATTTCTGCTTTTTTGCTAACACAAGCAATATTCTAATGTGTATTATTGCCCGAAGGCAAAGTTCCTGAAATAGAATTGCTGGTGAGAGAAGTGCATATTTTAAAATTTTAGACCATATTGTCTACTTTCTCATCAGCAAAGTTCCTTAATTTATACTTACACTTTTGTGTAGGAGAGTCAGTTTCCCCATGCCATTTCATTATTTTCTCTTTATTACTATTGACTATTTTCCAAACTTGTGTTGGGCATCATTCCTCTCCTCCTCCTTCAATATATGTATGGATTGATGATAGAAACATTTGAGGGTTGTATGTTACAACTGATCTTCCTCCTTTCGTCTAATAGAAGTTATAATTGGCTTTGTCTTTTCCTTTAGTTTTCTGGCCTTGGTATCATACTCAGAAAACCCTTCCCCATTGTAACATTATAATATTGTTTTTCTCCATTTTATTACATTGCTGACAGTATTTCTAATTCTTTTCTATGATTTTTTCTGCTAAACTTTTCAAGTATAATGAATTTAAGAAGTACTGCAATTAAAAGTTGCCTGTTATTGCAATTTTAGATGTTTGCATAGATCAAGCAAAACTAGAAGAATTTGAAGAGAAAGAATCAGAACTTTACAAGAAAGTAAGTAATTTCCGAAAGACTAACTTTGCCAGATTATGTGGAGAACCACTGCAAACATCCTTCTGCCTCGGGGACTTTGCTTTGTGGTCCCTCTTCTTTACCTCTTTCAGAGTTTGCATTGACTGTTCATCGTATTTAAAATTTCTAACTCTTTATTCCCAAACCTGAGCCTTCCTATGTCTCTTTTCTGATTTCTTTTTCTTCCATTGTACTTTCTGACATGTTACATGTTTTATTTATTTATGTACATTTGTCTTTTGTTTTTTTGTTATATATTGTTTATTTCTTCCTCTAGAGAAAACCTCTTGAGGGATTTGTTTGCTTTATTCACTACCCCTGTACTTAGAGCAATTCGTGGCCAGTGTAAGAAATAAAAAATAAATATATTTTTTGAATGAATGTATAGAATCAAAATTTTAAGATCAGAGTAATTCTCAAGAAGACATATAGTTTAAGCCCTTAAGATTGAAATTATATCCAAGGTGTTTTATCCTTTTATCTTTTGCTTACCATGTACTTATTAGACTGTTTCTCTGTCTTTTTTGTTGGGTTATTCACATTTCAATAGTCATTTTAATTTGAATTCTTAAGGCTGCATTTCTCATATTGGGGGAATTAAAATAATTATTACTGCTACTACCACAATGAACATTTGCTGAATGAACATTAACTGTGCATTAGGCACCGTGCCAGGAGCCCTGGTGGTACAATGGTTTAGCTCTAAGCCTCTAACCAAAAGGTTGACGTTCGGAACCTACCTAGCAGTTCTGTGGGAGAAAGACCTGGCAATCTGCTCCTGTAAAGATTACAGCCCAGAAAATCCTATGGGGGCAGTTCTACCTTGTCACATGTAGTCACAATGAGTCGAAAATTGACTCCACAGTACATGACAAGCACAGGCACAATGCCAAGGAGTCTGCATGATTGATGTGGTGGGTCCAAAGCATATCTTGAGAGAATTGCACACTTCTATAAGGTTTTAAGGATAAAGCATAATTATAAATTGTAGGCATCCTCGACTCTCATCTTGTTCAGTCATACTGATCCTACAGACCTCATCTTAAATATCTGTGGGCCAGCTTTCCCTGGCCATCCAAGACCAGATGAGGAACCCTTCCTACGTGCTTACACAGCACATAAGGGGTTTTCTATCATAGAAATGATCACACTGTGATAATATCACAATGGGACATCATCACACTGTGATAATATCACAATGTGACATCACATTCCTCCATAACACTCACTAGCTGTTTGATGTATCAGATCCCAAATATGTCTTTACATTTACAGATGAGGAATTGAGATACAGAGTGGTTAAGTAACTTACTCAGGGTCACACACCAGCTGCAATCACAATAGTGCATAGCTCTTAAAGTACTCAGTTGTTAGGAGTAACTTATGAAAAACATTGTAAGTGTCCTGTTCTAAGAAGTCCTAAGGTTTTGAGTTAACCAAACATTTACTGAAAGTGTATTATATCCTATGCCTTAGGCTGGAGGCTGGGGTTATAGCAACTCCTCTGAAGTGACTTAGTTGAGTGGGGAAACAAATTAACGGATCATTTCAATTAAGTATCATATAGGGAGGGTTACAGTTGATTAATATACATGTTGTTCAGGTTGTGGGAGGTTTTGGCGGAGGGGCTCATCACCCAGCCATCTTTGTATTCCAAGCTCAGTAAGCACATTCATGCTTAACTGGAAAGTAGTACTTTTAAGTACTTAATTTGGATATATCACAGATAGTATAAATTTTCTCTCATTATCATTTGTGGGTGTTAAACATGATCACTTTCTCATGCTTTTAAAATTGTAAGCTTTAGATGTAAATGGAAGAAAGAACTTGTTCAAGGTTAGTTGTCTCCTTTTAGTCAGAAATTATATGTCTTAGGTATATTCAGAAAATACTGTTTGCTCCGTATAAGATTTCTATTGCTGTTCCATTTTGTGTATATCAGCAAACACTTCTTTCTGATGGCTTTATAAGGACACATGTAAATACTTTGCTTTAGGCAGTTAGCTATCATAGTTGCTAGACACATTCTTTATTTTGGTGCATAAATTTGAAAAATGAAGACCAGAAATGTCAGAAAGTACATAGAGAATATTGAATTATCAACCTTCTTGTACAGATACACTAATACATTTACCCTAGGGAATTAAATTAAGCAGAGCATCAACCTTAACTGTATTTCTTGACATTTTTGTGTATAATTTTGTAAGTGTAATATTGCTCTAGTAACTCTTTTTGGAGAAGAAGCCTGTCATATCAGTTTTTACAAAGTACGCCTTTAATGGAGATTCATTTTATCCCCAAGGCTACAGTGATTTGACTATAGATATTATGAAAATGCTAAGGCAAAGTTTATACTTCATCTGATCCTATTATAGGGGAAGATGTTGAAATTTATATCTTTGGTAAGTAATACAGATACTTTCAGTATGGCTAAGTTAATGTAATAAATTTTCCTGGAGTGTACTAACTATGACTTGGATTGTTTTGATAGTTTTATATTTGCTTTTCTAAATAATCCTTTTTCCTTCTGATTCTTAGTCCAAGGCTTATGAGATGGTATAGTGTACACATCAACATGGTGGAAAAAGGCTTCTTCATTCTTATTCTCATAAGAAGAATTTAGTTTTTTATTTCTTGCTATACAGCTGTAAAACTTGAGCAGGTGTACAAAGGGAAATAGAGAGAATGACCTCTGAAGGGTTTTTGGTGCTGGGAGAGTGAATGCTTTAATATATGATGTTGACATAGTCCCTCAACATTTAAAAGAAGATTTAACAGGAGGTGGCTCATTCACATCACTCAGCAAGTATTTATTGACTTTAATTATAAATGCAAGTCACTGGAAAGGTCACGAATAAAATAGAAAAGATTATACCTTCAATAAACTTCCAGGTTGGTGAGTGTTATTGAGGTGTATGATATCACATTATGATATTTTTATATTACAGTGTGGTAATTTTTATGATAGAAAACCCCTTATGTACTGAGTAAGATGTAGGAAGGGTTCCTCAGCTAGTCTTGGGTGTCCAGGGAAAGCTTGCCCAAGAAAGTGATATAAGGTGACAAATTCAAGTCGGAGGACTATATAAATTTAACTGTCTATTTTGAATTCCCTAAAGTTATCTCGAGCTTTAACATATTTAAAACCAAATTCGTTTTTCTTCTCTCTAAAAGTGTTCCCCTTCTAGCATTCCAAATCCTAATTTTTTTTTCAAATCAGAACACTTTATTTCAAACCTGCAGAGTCACAAAACACCAGTTATCTTAGATAACTCATTCATTCCCTTCATTGCATGAGACACGACTCTTTTGGATTCTATAGTCTTCATTTTCTTTCCATTACCCTCTGCTCTATTTTGATTCAGGCAGGCTCTCAGTTCTTACTTGGATAACTTCAATAGTCTCCAAACTAATTTCCTTACTTCTAGTATTTCTCTTTCAGGCCATCTTCCGCAGTGTTGCTGGTTGGATTTCCCAAAGTGCAATTTTGATCATGTTATTTTCTTATTATAAATACTCTAAAAGCTCCCTGTGGTTTTCAGGAAAGAACACTAACTCTGGCTAATTGCAGAATTCTTTTCAATAATCTCATTCCTGTGTATGTTTCTAGCTTCATCCCCTGCAGTTTGTTCTCATAGCTCCTTTTGTGCCCCTTACAAGAAGTTATTGGCCATTCATCTACTCATTGTGCTATTCCCTCCATGTGTAATGCTAGCTGCACTTCTCAGCTAGCACCTGAAATTCTTCAAAGGTGAAGTCAAGCATCATTTCTCCAGGAATCATGTGCTTGCCTCTGGAGTCTCTGTCTATCTAGCTTGGTGGAAGTTCTCATGGATTTTGGATTAATTTAGTTTTGCTTCACCACCAGATACTATGATTACTGAAACAATGGCCACGTTCTGTTTAACTCTGTATCTCCAGTACCTACTACCACGAGAGACAGATCATAGGTATAGCCTTAGATATTTACTATATAATAGGAAATATATTCAGTAGGTAGGTTAGGGCCAAATCCCAGAGGTTCATATATATTACACTAATGGTTGTTGCCTTCATCATGAAGCCATTGAAGGTTTAAGAGGAAAGGAGTCATGTTATTTGAGCTGTCCTTTAGAAAGAAGAGAGATATTAAAAAAAAAAAAAAAGTTTTAGGGGACAGAGATAAGCTTAGTTTTGAAAATATTATTATTTGTGTGTGTCTTGAAAAAATGTCAAGTAAGCAGTTGAAAATACATTTATGGACTGATCCATAGCCTGGAAATTGGATGAGAAATTAAGATGATGATAGAAATTTGGAAGCCATCAGTGTATAGATGGTGGTTGATGCATATGGGCATGGAAGATACCATCTTACAAGAACTATGGAATGAGACCAGCAGAGAGGATTGAGAAAAGATCTGTTGAATGCCAAAATTAAAGGGTTGTATTAAGGAATAACCAAAAAATCCATTGCTGTCGAGTTACTTCCGACCCATAGTGACCCTACAGGACAGAGTAGAACTGCCCCATAGAGTTTCCAAGGATGTGAATCCTTTATGGAAGCCGAGGGCCACATCCATCTCCCATGGAGCAGCAGGAGGAATAGGAACCCATAAAGAATATTGGAAGGAGCAGCCAAGGATGTAGCAAGAGAAACAGAGGACTGTGTTGTAATGGAACATACAGGAAAAGAGAGCTTGAATATAGAGGCATATAGAGCAGCATTGCCCAATATGAGATGCTGGAAGTGTTTTATAATCTATATGCTTCAACATGGCAGCCATTAGCCATGTATGCCTGGTTGGCATGTATAAAATAGCTAGTGTGACAGAGTAACTGAATATTTTACTTTTTAAAGTTTTATTTAATTTTAATTTACATTTAAATAGCTATATGGGGCTAGTGGCGATCATATTGAATAGCATGACTATAGAAAATAAGTTTCTAGATGAGTGAGATGAAGCAGGAAGTCTGGGAGATTTGTAATTTGGAAAGGCACAGTTTCTAGAGTGAAAGAATGAGAGCTAAGTTGTAGTGGATAATGAAGTGAGGGTCAACAGGGCAGAAAATAAGCATAGACTAAGCAGTCTTTGAAGAAGTTGACTTTGAAGAAAAATAACATTACAGCTTTAGGGGTGATACGGGGTAAGTTGAAGGATAGTAGAGCAGAGAAGTTAACGGTGCAACAGATGACGTCCATGGGGAAAGTGGGAAGGAATTTTCTCCAGGGGACAGATAGAGAGATTTGTACTGGGTGGCAAGAGAGGATGGGGTGGGTTGTCCCATGAGACCTAAGGATGGTTTGGGTGCTAGATTAGTTATTTTATTAGGCTGAGGATCAGTATCTGTTATATTATCTAATGATAGGGGGCTTTGGAGTTGCTGTAGGAACAGTGGGAGTGGTAATGTTGGTATGATTTGGGCAAAGTGAAGGGCATTTGGGCAGTTTTTATCAGTTTCTGTTCACTTTGTAAAGAAACAGTATTATCTGTTGAAAGTAAGAGGCTCAGGGATCTGAGAGTTGCTTTCCTCACTGTAAAATAGGAATTATTATAATATTTCTTATTTCACAGAGTTGTTTTTGCGATCAAATGGAAAAGTATTTTTGTGCTTTAAAAACTGTAAAGTATTACATAGACATTGTAGGGGGATGATGTAGTTTCATGTGAATAACAAGCTTTTAGGATAGAAAATATGGCTTTTTAATCTTACTTCTTTTACTTACTAGCTGTAGGATGAGGGACTGACAACTAGCTGTAGGATGAGGGACTGACAACTACCTGTTTGTGTTTTTAAGGACAACTTAAGATACACGTACAGAGCCCTTTCTGAACTGTTGAGTTCTATATTGTTGTTTTCCTAATTGAGGTTTGACTGTATTTAAAATCTGTTTGTGAAGTTGCGTATGTATGTATGTTTTAATGATTGATTTTTTCACTCTGTTTTTTTAAGAGAGTCAAATACTTGTTCTTGATTATGAGACAATACCTTATTTAAATTTACCTCTATTAGGAGAGATTTTCAGTCATGACGATTGTAGGGTGAAGCTATTTGAATCTAAGATGGGAACTAGAGATTTTGATAAATGGCGATATAAATTAGAAAACTCAATTAATTCACCAAATTTTATGGTTTTCTTTTCTCCCACATGGTATTGCACTAGGAATTTTGAAAGATTAATTTATCTTTGGAAGATTAATGATAAATACGACAGACTTTATTCTCTTAAGTTGTTGAATGTTAGGGCCTATGTGTGGGTCCTTACATCTCACGATATTATAAGGAGAAAGTGAGTAATGGATACATTTACAGAATGAAATTGTTTATTAATTAAAAAATGAAAATGGAATTCTTTTAAATAATGAAGATAAACTTCAGACGAGTTTCAAGCTGAAGTATTTTGCAGGTGTGGGGAAGGAATTTCAGCACAGTGCTTTGCTGTCTATTATTTTGCACAAAGTCACAATGATATTTAGGGACTTTTAAGCAAAATGCCAAGGTTGCAGATAACTATGGGCCAGTTTGCTCTGCTCAGAGAAGGTCACAGACTCCATTTCTGGCTTTGTCTGCTCCCTTGCAAATGAATGATTTTGGTGGGACCTGGAGGAACCCAGAGGAAGGTTGTAAGTGACTTAGCAAAAATCTACCTTTGCTTTTGTAAAACCAATTCAGAAGTTTATGTGCTACTGACGGATCATTAGAGGCATACTTCTATATGAAGAATAGTGTTTTTCAAATTTTCTTTTCTCTCTCTGTCTTTTTTTTTTTCCTTTTTAGTTTGAAAAAGAGTTTACTGACCACCAAGATACTCAGGCTCAATTGCAGAAAAAAGAGGCAAAGATTAATGAGCTTCAAGCAGAATTACAAGCTTTTAAATCTCAGGTAAAATACCGTCCTGAGTGAATTTGGATATTGAAACCTCACCAGGGGAACAAAGGTCATGTAATATCTTCATTGCATCTAAACTGTATGAGATTTATTTGCACATGTATGTTTTCATAGTTTTGTTTATATGTAGTTTTGTTCTGCTATGTTTATTTTAAAACAATTCATGTTACCACTTTCCTTCAATTTGCATTTTTAGGAATGCCTCAGCTTTTACTAATTAATTCTGCTACCTTATGCTTCATTTGAGTGTTGCTCCTAATATCACGTATTTCCTAAGTAATTAAGCGTAAAGGGTAAGAAAGCCTTTTACCCTTAGATTTGTCATTCATCGCTGATTTTTATCCCACTATAAGAAATTATTGCTTAAGCTATTTATTTTTCAAAACCTTCAGCCTATGGGTACCTTGCAGTAAAAGATAATCTCTAGCTGAAATGGGAACATTTTCTGATAATTTTTCAATTTCCAAAAGTAAACAGATTTAAAGCATGACAAAAAAGAGAGCAAATCTAGATTATGAAGCAGATAGGTCACATACACCCTCTGTACATAAAACGTTTAGATAACAAGAAATACATCATCTGCATGTTTTAACTGGATGAAAGTAAGGAGGTAAAATATCCATAGCTAGATTTCTTTATGTAGATTTACATACAGGATAATGAGCAATAAGTATAGTTTTGCCATTTTCTTTTCATCCTAATTTACGATTATGGTGAAACAGTCTCAGGTATACTATTTCTTATATTATTGGCAATTTTCTTTTCTTTTAAGTACTTAGTAAATAGCTTTATTACAGGGGCTGTCTGAAGACAACTTAAGAGATAGCTATCTGTCAGTGTTCAGTTTTAGAAAAAAAAATTAAAATCTCCCATCTATGAGAAAATTATTCTCACTGATCTTTAGTGCCTCAAGGAAGAAGTAGTACATTTTGTCAGATTTTTTTCATCTTTCTCATGTGGCTCCTTGTGTCTCATATTGAAAGAAACATTTACTTGTGTTGTATACTTCAGATTGAGTTATAGACAATGACTTAGTATTTACGACAAGTGTTTCCTGGTCTGGGCTAATACAAATTTAAGAACTTTCTTTTCTTTTTAATTTTTTCCGGTTGAAGGAATACTTGTAAATCTACTCTAGAAAAATCTAGTTGATAAGAAATATGTCTGTCATCTTTGAATAAGTTATTGTTGAATGGTGCTTTTGTGTAAAATGGGAATAAATTCATGTTTTGAAACTGAAATTGAGTCAAATTAACTATTAGGTTGTTTTAAATTGTTCAAAATGACCTGTACACAATGATGGCTGTCAGAAAAAAGCCTGCAATTAAAGACTTACTAATGGCCACCATATTCATTTTTGAAGAATGGTTGGCAAATTCTTTATTTTGCTATTAGTTTGTATTTGTCATGAAATTTGCGCATTTGTCTTAAGAAACCTTTCTTTGATCAAAGGTATGGTGACTACGAAGACTATCAAGAAATTAAATATCTCTGTAATCTGTGATTATACTTCTTCATTAATTTACTTACTCAGCAACCAGGCACTTTGTTAGATGCTGGGGATATAATGGCTTCATGAGTGATGTATTCAAGCTTATCATGCTTACTCTATCAACTAGAACTATTCTAGATCAGAAATGTAGCCATATTTTGTTTAAAGAAATGAATAGTAACTATAAAATGTATTTTAAGTGTGAGCGTAATATACATAACATCCATTACATTCAAAAGGCAGTACTATCCGTGATCACAGTAACATAGAGTAACACTAAAGTAATTCTTCTTTACACTTCTTTTTTTTTTTTTTTTTAATAAAGCATGTACTTTGATTTGTGGCGTTGACTTCTTTTATAACACTGTTTTTCTTGGTGAAGATCTTAGACATCATAAAGATCTTAGATCTTAGACAACATTTTAGGCAGAGAGCACAGCATGTACAAAGTCCCTGAAATGGGTATGATGTTGGCACATCCATAGACTTGGGAGAAAGTCACTTGAAAGACCATTTGGCAGGGCACCCTACTAAGAATTTTAGATTGTTTCTCCAGTGCAGTGGGATACCACTGAGAAGGTTTAAACAAAGTGTGATCTGGCAATACTGTTTTTTTCTAGATCTTATTTTTTACTTACCACTTAAATGTTAGTGTTCCATAGAATTCTGTACATAGGCCTTTTCTTATGCTAGATGCTCTCTCTGAGTGAATTTATCTACTCCCATGGCTTCAACTGTCACCTAGAGATGGCTGATTTTTAAATCTTCTAAATCCATATATCCATTTCACTCTGGGACATCACCACCTAGATGACCATAACAACTCCAAACTGGGGAATAATATTCAGGCAACTACACTTTTATGAAAACAAAAACTATAATTGTATTCTTAAATTGAGAAACAAATATTGAAATTTTGTTACTAGGTTTAAACCATATAAAGCTATAGACATGCATTTATTTTTGGTTTAAACTAATACCTTATTATTTTTGAGAAAAGTATACTTTTACTTGTGCAGAGTTTTCTTATTTGTGTTCCTTATTGTTTTTTCCTGTAGTTTGGTGCCTTGCCAGCTGATGCAAGTACCTCTTTAATCCAGTCAAAAGAAGATGGGACTGGCCACCCAGGACTCCCTCCTCCTCCCCCACTTTCCTCTTGTGGAGGGTTGCCGCCTCCACCACCACCTCCCCCTCCCCCTCCACTTCCAGGAATGCCAATGCCATTCGGTGGCCCCGTGCCTCCACCACCCCCCCTTGGATTTCTCGGTGGACAAAACTCTCCCCCTCCACCAATATTGCCATTTGGGTTGAAACCAAAGAAAGAATTTAAACCAGAAACCAGCATGAGAAGATTGAATTGGTTAAAGGTAAAACAAATAAATGAAGGAAAACTTTTATTTAGATTAAACCTTAATTTTGGATTTACTTATATGTAACTTCTAATGCAAACCACAATCAAAATGACATTAAATAAAATAGCATCATTTTTAAAATAAAAGTGCTGAGAGAAAGCTCTTTGCTGTTGATGCAGGTTTTCTGGTTTATAAATGTGATGGGACTCAATGTTGTTACAATGAGATTTGACTTGCAATTGACTTGATAATTCTATATTATTGTTATTGATTTCTATATTTATGAAGATTGTTTCTTAAAAGTACAAAAAAGTTAGTGTTCTTTGGAATTTTTCTATATTGGTAGCTATTAGGAAAAATATTACTTGTGAGAAATTGATTTTTAGTCAGGGAATAGGAATTCTGAATCCTAAATTCTCAATCAGTTGCAACTTCTTTTGAGAGGTCCTGGTAGAAAAGGACAAGGCCAGATTAAGAAATAGTTATCAATAGCTGAGGCATTGGCCCCAGTTCTGAGTGTAGTTTCTAGAGAAATTCTACCACAGTTTCTCAGGTAAGCTTGGCTGACTCTTAATTATCTGCTATGAGGGCTGACCTAGAGGTGGCCTATTGTTTTAGTTAAACCTGACACATGTTAGTACCCCCCTTTTCCCAGGAGTCCATATGCTAATTTGCATCTCTAGATTTTATACATTTGATGACAAGAAAGGATATCAAATGTATAAAAGACGGAAATAGAAAAGAAGTGAAAAGGGCTTGTTTTTTAGAGCCCAAATTTTTCACTTTCATCTTACTTTCTCTTGCTTTTCAATCTTGTTTCCTATCAACTTTCTCAAGTGTGGAGAGGATTTCTTCACCCAAATGGAACAAGGCCCTGGATTCTGGTCTTACTATGCTCATTGCATGAGAGAAGATGATAGAGCAGTATAAACAGCTGAATCTATGGCCCTAGGGTTGGGATTGGCAGTTTTTTACAGATAGCTACAAGCCTGTTAATTTACGGGAGCCCTGGTGGCACAGTGGTTAAGCGTTTGGCTGATTACCAAAAGGTTGGTAGTTCGAATCTACTAGATGCTCCTTAGAAACCCCATGGGGGCAGTTCTACTCTGTGCTATAGGGTAGCTATGAGTCAGAATTGACTCAACAGCAGTGGGTTTTTTTTATGGGGACATTTAGTGTCAGCCACTTCTGGGCTGCCATGCAGAATATCCTGTGGCAGAAGCCGCTGTGTGTGCTGTGATATAACTAACATTCATGGTTGATAGACCCCTGGGAGGGGAGATGGTGGTGAGGATAGGGGTAGAGGGAAGGGATTATAAAAATTCCGTATTATTGCATGATTGAAGGAACAGGCTATCTCTTCCCTTTCCTTCTTCCCTTCATTCATTCATTTATTTATTCAGTGAATACATTTATTCATTCAGTAAGTATGTACTTATGACCTTTCTTAATATATCTGGCTATTTTATTCTAATATGTCAATTTCCTCTATTTACTAAAAAGTACTCTTAGAAAGGGTCACAACTCAAGTGATTGTCATATGTAACCTTGCCAGGCTGTGTTGCTTTGTCACTGGTTTATGCCAGATGACCTGCAGAAAGATGGTTTCATGGTCACATGAACTTGGAAATACTGTGTAATGTATCTTGTACATCAAGAGTCATAGGTGAACATTATTAAAGACTCTGGGAAATATAATTGAGAAGAAACAAATTAAACTCCATTTCGCTCAGCATTTTCCCAGCTATTTAATTGTGGAAACGTTTTTTTCCTCAAAAAACCTTAGCAGCCTGTAGAACTTGTTTCACTGAACACACTTTGGGGGAAGCATCTTACAGGATGCAGCTGTAGGGCCCAGGGTGTGTACATTGGGTGTCGACAGGTGAAGCACCCAACTGTTTATGAATCAGTCTTCTCTCTGATTGCAGATCAGACCTCAGGAAATGACTGAAAACTGTTTCTGGATAAAAGTAAATGAAAATAAGTATGAAAATGTGGATTTGCTTTGTAAACTTGAGAATACATTTTGTTGCCAACAAAAAGGTAAGTGTAACATGTTGGTTATTCATGAATTAACTTTTTGTAATTTAATGCTGCTACTTTTTAATATACAAATCACTAGAAAACATTGTTTCAATAATCTGATACATGATTTTTTTATATTATTAGCAGGGAGTTAAATAATCTTATCTAATGAAATGTTCTAGAAAAGCAAACTTTGTTTTACAGTGTGTCAAACAACATTCAAATGTACATGATGAATACAAAACTATGTTCAATTTTCTGTATGATACCTTTTTATGAAGATGCTCCATTGGGGTCAATCCTACTTTTGTAAGGGAGGACATTTACAGAGAAGATTTTGACATGAAAATGCATTCCCTTCTGCATAGTTGTTGTTTTTAGCCACCGTTGAGTTGGCTCTTGACTCATGGTGACCTCATGCGCACAGTGGAACACAGTGCTGCCAGCTCCTGTGCCATTCTCAAGATCAGTTGCAGATCAGACCCCATTGTGATCTATAGGGTTTTCATTGGCTGATTTTTGAAAGTAGATTGCCAGACCTTATTTCTTAATCTGTCTTAAGTCTGGAAGCTCCGCTGAAACCTGTTCAGCATCATAGCATTATGAAAGCCTCCACGGACATATAGGTGGTGGCTGAACAATGAGTTGCACTGGCTAAGAATCGAACCCTGGTTTCTCACTGAAGTTGAGGCTTCTGCCACTGAAATACCAATGCAACAAAAACTAAATGTAAGCATTCCTCTTATCAGAATTTTACCACCCCTTAATATCTCACATGACTATCACATAATTAATTGTTGTTGTTAGGTGCCGTTGAGTCAGTTCCCTACCCACAACAGAATGAGACACTACCTGGTTCTATACCATCCTCATGATTGTTGCTGTGTTTGAGCCCATTGTTGCAGCTACTGTCAATCCATCTCACAGAGGGTCTTCCTCTTTTTTACTGACCCTCTTCTTTAACAAGCGTGATACCCTTCTCCAGGGACTGGGCCCTCCTAATAATATGTACAAAGTATGTGAGAGGAAGTTTTGCCATCTTTGCTTCTAAGGAGCATTCTGGCTGTACTTCTTCTGAAACAGATTTCTTCGTTCTTCTGGCAGTTCATGCTATATTTGATATTCTTCGTCAACACTATAATTCAAATGCATCGATTCTTCTATGGTCTTCCTTATTCATTGTCCAGCTTTCTCATGCATATGAGGCAATTGAAAATACCATGGTTTGGGTCAGGCACACGTTAGTCCTCAAAGTGACATCTTTGCTTTTTAACACTTGGTTTTCACTGGCCAATTTTTTCCAGAAGTATATCCCCAACTCCTTCTTCCTAGTCTGTCTTAGTTTGGAAGCTCTGCTGAAACTTGTCCACCATGGGTGACCCTGTCGGTATTTAAAATACTGGTGGCATAACTTCTAGCATCACAGCAATGCATGCCAGCCACTACAGTATGACAAACTGACAGACAAGTGGGGGAATTAATTATGGGATAGAAATACCACATTTATGGAGTGTCTTGAAAGTTAGCAAGTGAATATCAACAGTGTGAAATAGAAGTACACGACTAGGTTATATGATCTTTTTATTAAAAGCAATGAAGTTTATTTTCCAGATTACTTTGTGATAGCTTTCACCTGTGCCGTGTGAGTCAAAAAAAAAAAAAAAAAAAAAAAAAATCAGGCTTTACTCTTATCTGAAAATTGAATTTATTCAATCCAGTCTTGTGGGCCTACCACTTACATTTCAGGGCTGATATCCACATATACAGTCAAATTAACTTTTAAGCATTATGTAAAGTTTACATTTTAGTTCTGTAGCACAAGGCACTTAGATTAGTCATTACCTTTTAATTTTCTAAAAGAACTTTTTCCCTGTGGACTTTTGTTACTTGTGTTCCTGAGCTCATTGAACACAGAAAGAGCTGGTGGAGGGAGATTGTAAGGGATGGAGGTAGGAGGGCTTGGTGTAGAAAAGGAAGAATTGACTTCTTAAAATGCCTACTGTGTACTAGGTACCATGCTAGATACTTTATCTGTTTGATTAAACTTGATTGTCACAGGAGTCACGAAATGTTGACAGATACATTAAAAATCATTTTAAATTCCTTTGAAATGCTTTCTAAAAACAATTGTAAATTACAATTGTAAATCTTTCTAAAAGATAATTGCAAATTAAGGTAGCGTTCTAGAATTTATGGTAAATCTGAAGCCTTTAGTGGATGTTTTTAAGCATGATTGGTCTTGTATAAAATATTTAAAATGGTATATTTAGATTTTTGAAAATAGGGAGAGTTTTCTCACCAAGCTTACCCTCGGAAAACTGGTGAAGTAAGCAGATCTTGATTTTACCTTTTGATTATGGAGAACCAAATTTTCTTCTTTGACTAACATTAGTGCACTCTTTAGGCAATCAAGGAAAATATATGGCAGTTAAAATGGGTGTTTACGTGTAAAACACTTCAGACTTTCAGATTTCATAATCTGGAATTGATTAGTTTTCCCTTTGCTTTCCTTGTAGGCGAGAATGGTGGTGCCTAAAAGCTATCTCAGGGATGCTGCCATCCGCTACTTTCTCTCTTTCTTTTTTTCCCCTCTTTACTTTGATTACTTTCTTAATTAATGAGGCTCAAAAGGGAAACTTGTTAGCATGTCTTTAATTTAGCTGCAGTGTTAGCCCTAAATGAAATAATTGGACCTGTAAAAAATTCTTAAGTCATCTAACTTTAGCCTTGAGATTCAAGGTTGGGAAAAAAAAAAAAAAAAAAAAAGATCTACTTGCTCAATCTAGTACTAGTTATAACGATCACATTGAAGGAATGATGATCATTTTCTGAATATTCTGTCTTCTATCTCTCTCTGCCTTCATACATGCCGTGCCCTCTGCCTGGAATCTCTCTTTCACTTGGCCTAGAGCCTGGTAGAGACCTATGGCTTCTTTTGTCTCATTTCAAATGCTGCTTTCTGTTTTCTGTGAGAGTGGATGATATTTTCCAGGGTGAGCCAAAAAGATGGAGAAGCCCAGTGTTGTGATCCTGGGCAATGCTGACATTTCAAAATGCTGATGGGAAAGGAGCTGTGGAGGTGACTATTTTTAGCTCTGCATTTTTAAGAATAGTTCTTAGAAAGCGTTATTTGAGGACCCCTATAGACCCCTGATGGTGCAGTGGTTAAGAGCTCAGGCTGCTAACCGAAAGTTTGGCAGTTCGAATCCACCAGCCACTCCTTGGAAACTCATTGTGGCAGTTCTCCTCTGTTCTATAGGGTCACTATCAGTCGGAATTGACTTGATGGCAGCAGGTTTTTTGTTTTTGTTGTTGTTGTTGTTTACAGAGTCGATATGAGTCAGAGTCGACTCTATGGCAGTGGGTTTGGTTTTTGGTTTAAGTGTGCTTTTTGACATTAGCCCAAACCAAAAACCAAACCCACTGCTGTCGAGTCGATTCTGACTATAGTGACCCTAAGGGACAGAATAGAACTGCCCCATAGAGTTTCCAAGGCTTTAATCTTTACAGAAGCAGATTGCCACATCTTTCTCCTGTGGAGCAGCTGGTGGGTTCCAACTGCTGACCTTTTGGTTGACAGCCCAGCACTTTAACCACTGTGCTACCAGGGCTCCTCTTTTTGGTATTAAAAAACCAAAAACCAAACCCACTGCCATCGAGTTGATTCCAACTCATAGCTACCCTATAGGACAGAGTAGAACTGCCCCATAGAGTTTCGAAGGAGCACCTGGTGGATTTGAACTGCTGACCTTTTGGTTAGCAGCCATAGCACTTAATCACTACACCACCAGGGTTTTCTTTTTGGCATTACTAATAGTTAAATCCCCCACCCATCTGTCAGTTTGTTGTAGTGTGGTGACTTGTGTGTTGTTATGATGCTGGAAGCCTTGCCACCGGTATTTCAGATACCACAGGGTCATCCATGGTGGATAGGTCTCGGTGGAGCTTCCAGACTGAGACAGACTAGGAAGAAAAGCCTGGCAATCTACTTCTGAAAATCAGCCAATGAAAACCTTATAGATTACAATAGAACGTTGTCCAACTTACTTGCTTTGGATACGTCATCAGTAGGGATCAATAGCTGGAAGGAGGGAGTCATGTTTGGTGAAGTAGAACATCACAGAGGGTGAGGTGATTCTCCGTAAGACGGACTGGTACAAAAGCTACAACAATGGACTTAAATGTATCAACCGTCCAGAAGATGGCACAGGAGCAGACAATGTTACATTCTGTTGTATGTAAGGTCACCATGAGGTGCAGTTGACTTGGCCACAGCTATCAACAACCGCAAGTAATTATTTTGGAAAAGGCTTTGTTGCTTTCAGACAAAAAGAGGATTTTATATATGTATTTTATTGAAAAGATCGGAAAGGTAAATGAGTGAGAAAGTGGTGTCCTGAAAGCTTAGGGCTGTTGAGTGGATGGGCTGCTCCATGCTGTCTCTTTTTTTATGGCCTAGCTGCAGAGACATTAGGTCCAGGTATTAATGATTGCCTGACCCCATGACTCCACAGGTCACTTTGTTTAAATCAGTTTTGTAGTTTCTGCAGAACTTAAAATTAAACCTGGTCTTCATTGTTCACTCAAAGATAGAAATACAATTGCTTCTCCACTGTCTAGCAAGCAGGGGGAAGATAGAGACATTGACTGTATGAAGCTGAAGGGAAATTTTGGATATGATTGATTTTCATTGTTGGTTTGCATCACAACTAGGCAGGGAAGGACAGAGAATTCAGATAACTGAAGAATAGTCAGTTTTTCGGGGAATGAGATAGCTCTGTTTTTTATTGCAAACATTCTTTGGACTAAAATCCAGGCCTATTTCTCTGATTACATAGGTGGATATTCCATCTCAGGTGTCTAGAATGGTAGATGCCAATCCTTTATGTTTCCTAAGCATTTGAAATAGATAGTAAGAATAAAGGAACTGAATCTAGTGATTTAAAGAGGATTGTGACATTTTATTTTACATGTTCTTTAATCTTTGTTATTATGTATTGCTTTTTCTTACATCGGGC